TTTATAAGAGCTCTGGAGATTGATTAAAACTGAATAATTTTTTCGTTTACATTTACTGATTGGATTGTAGCTGTATTTTATCCATGGCCTTGATTTTCCCATAAGAATCCAAGGTGTTTCAGTTTATTATTGAGTTTCAGGAAAAAACCGTTAATTTGTATTATGTTTTTTGTAACTAAATTTTTACCGGAGATAATGAACTAAATTTTTACCGGAGATAATGGTTTTTTCTGTATTTAATTTGATATAGAGGTTTTTACATTGCGTTTGAACTTTATTAATCAACTCTTGTAGCCCAGAAAGAGTAGGACTTTGCAGGATTATATCATCTGCATAAGCAATAATACCAGTGTATAAACCCATTACTGTTGTTCCAACTTTACAATGGGAAACATTAATATGCATAAACTATATCGATTGTACAACGACAATTTTTTTTTTTTTTTTATATATTTTAAAAACTTAAACAAGATTCTAGTATTTCATTAATTCCTTATAAGTTTTGTTTTTAATTTTTGTATTTGCAACTGTTAACACATGCAAACCATACCGTATTCGTATTTTGTTATTACATTTAGATGTTTTTTTTTTATTGCATAACAAAGCGCGTGCATTTGTTCGAATAAATAATTTCTTTTTACTGATATAAATAATTATTATTTGTGAATTGTATTTTTGAAGAGGTCTGTAAGTTTTAAAAATTTAAATTTTTTAAATAATAAAGAAATAATTGCTGAAAAACTAAACTTTTTTGAGATTAGCACGGCGTTTCACGGCTAAAATCCCGACAATTGTCTGAATTTTAACATTTGCTTGTACAATTGTACATGCAAATGTTAAAATTCATCTAAACTCAATTTCAATTAAAACTTATGGTACTTAAGTACCATAAGTTTTGAAACTTCAGAAATATCAGTTTTCAAAATACCTTTTTGTATTATTAAGTATATCATTATTAAGTATATCTTTTGTAAAGATGTTATCGACAAGAGTAGCTTTATTAAGTGCCAAGTGAATAAAAATGAGCAATTGCTTTTACTCAGTAATTGGTCAGCTTTACTTGAATAAAAGCTAAACAAATTTTTCCTAAGTTTTTATTTACGTAAAGCCGAACATTCACTAAGTAAATTGTTTAACTTTACGTGAATAAAAATTTGAGCAAAACTGCTAATATTTTTATTCACGTAAAGCTGACCAATTACTGAGTAAAAGCAATTGCTCATTTTTATTCACTTGGCACTTAATAAAGCTACTCTTGTCGATAACATCTTTACAAAAGATATACTTAATAATGATATACTTAATAATACAAAAAGGTATTTTGAAAACTGATATTTCTGATCACTTTCCTATATTCTTAACATTTAACTGCAAGCCCTCAACAAAAATTAAACCAAGCCTAACATTTAGACGACGTTCTTTTAACCATATCAATGTTAACCAGTTTAAAGAATAATTATCACTGCTTCATTGGAAGCATATACATTTTAATGACAACGCTAACTCTATTTACAATAATTTTTTCAGCACATTGTACTTTATCTACGATGCCAATTTTCCATTTATTAAAAAAACAATCAATTCAAATAACTCATACAAACCTTGGATTACTAAAGAATTTAAAAAAGTCATCAAAGCTTAAGCAAAAATTATATATTACATATTTAAAAACAAAATCGCCTGAAAATGAAAAAAATATACAAGAATTTTAAATATGTATTTGAAAAAACTCGCAAAAACTTGAAAACAAATAATTATTCTAAACTACTTAATAAGTATAAACAAAACTCAAAACGCACTTGGGAAATAATGAAAGATATTAGTGGAAAAGAAAAATCCTGCTCAGTTTTCCTGCCTCAAGTCATCGAAGTCGATAAGAATTGTATATTTGAGCCAAAGAAAATAGCTCGTGAATTTATTAATTTTTTTGTTGGAATTGGTCCTAAATTGGCAAAAAAAGTTCCAAACACCCAAGCTTTTTTGTACCAATTAATAATTACATTAATTCTAATGAGTTGTCTTCAGAATTATCTTTTGAAGAGTTTGGAAAAGCCTTCAAATCTTCTAAAAAATAAAGCAACTGGTGCCGATGACATAAATGGTAATATAGTTATAGACTGCTTTAAACAACTAAAAGATATTCTTTTTTAAGTTTTCAAAGCGTCAATACATCAAGGAATTTTTCCTGATCAATTGAAAATCGCAAAAGTTACACCGATTTTTAAAGAAGGTGGTAGAACTAATACTAGCAACTGTCAACCTATCTCTGTTTTATCTATATTTTCGAAAATTTTAGAAAAAATAATGTACAATAGAGTGTATAACTATTTACATTATAATAATCTATTATATAACAACTAACTTGGTTTCAAAAAACACAGTTCTACTAAACATGCAATCATATAATGTGTACGTGAGATATCAAATTCCTTTGAAAATTCTCAATACACACTTGGTATTTTTATTGACCTTTCAAAGGCATTTGATACAGTTGATCATACTATCTTACTTTATAAACTTAAGTACTATAAAATAAATAAGAGAGTAATAAAGTGGTTCGAAAGTTATTTATCAAACCGAAAATAATATGCTTTCAGTAATGATGTTTATCAAAAGGATTTTTTACATATAACCATAGACGCAGAGTTTTAGTTTTCCCGGATGGGGCATTAACTATTTTGTAGGAGTTGAAAATCTATAATAAGAAATAAAAAGTTTTTTCAATGGGCAAAAAAATGTAATTTATTTTCTCAAGTAAAATGAGTTCATGCGTATCGAGGCACGCATTATAAAATCATCGATCAAATAATCAAGATCAAGAGTGCAGGCAATATTGCGATGGCAATTTAAAATAGAGAGATGATTCAATCGCTCCTGAGACATTGTAGAACATAAATAAGTCTAGCCTACGAAGACAAGAAAAAGAGCGCCCTGACGAACATGAGGTGACAGGCATACATAATAAAATCTTCACCAGGTTCACAAACTTGGGAATCTGTGGAACTAAGTGAGAAAGCATACCATCTTGGTCTACAAGCTCATTCAAAACTGATTCAAAATCATTTAATTTAATATTCTTGAATTTTTCATGATCTACAAATATATCGCGATGGAGTTGTAGCCTTCTATAATCTTTAAAGTCATCTTTGTAAAAAGCCTCAAAGAATCCAACTTCCAAGCACTGACCAATGATAAATTTTTCTACATTTGCTAAATGCTCAGTGGTCTCAGTTGGTTTGAAACGAGTCGCAAATCCAGAAATGCATAGAAATGCTGGCGGTAGTAGTCCTCTGGAGTCGTAGCAAAGTATGGAACTCCACTTCCAGTAAATTTTGATGTAATTTTACGTTTCCGTGGCATCTCTGGTTTGTCAAGTAAATTACATTCTGCTGCGACTTTACTTGACAAACCAGAGTGAAGCCCGAGGTTACACTTTTGAAGCAAGTGTAACCTCGGGCTTCTTTTAACACCTCCTTAAGCGTATTGATTGTATTTCTTGCTTTGCAAAAATTAGGCTACATGCCTAAAATGATTTTCAATAAACGTTTAACATTATAATTTGGTTAAAATAATATATTAAAAAAAAACACTATGAAATAAAACAATATTTACCTTGGAGTGCTGCATTAGCATCCTTGATTATCGTGAAGATCATGCGCAAAATTTCCAATTTGAAAAATGTGTTAAACTTACAAAAGGATTTCAGATAACCCACTGCTTCTTACTTGTTTTTGGCTGAATTATCAGAATGATTTTTACAATCCTCTAACCAGTTGATGATGGCGGAATAGTTACTCGTAATAGATATAATGGATGATTTTCTAAGGATCCATCGAGTGGGGCAAAATGGCCGCACATTTCAAAATTTATTGAAAGATGCCAGTCGTTTGGGTGATCTACGGGCAAATGCGATGAGCGATTGCACTAAATTCATAATATTCCTGATCTGTGTTTGATTTTTAACAAAATCTTTTGCTACCAAGTTGAGATTATGAGCGCGGCAGTGCACGTAAATTGCCCGCTTTTCTTTCCCCCTCATTAAAGTCTGCAATCCATAGATACTTCCAGACATGTTAGACGATCCGTCAAAAATTGACCGTGACAATTTTAAATCAATAGGCTAAATCGACATAAAACTTCCATCAAACAGTTTAACAAAGTTACGCTCTTGATGTTCTCGGTTTGATAAAATCCCATAAAAAGCTCCTCAATTTTAAATTTTTCATTAACACGACGAATGCAGATTGAAACTTATTCTTTCGCGGACATATCCGTTGTTTCATCGGCCATCAAACTATAGAATTGTGATTCCCTTATACTTTCGCATAGCTTACGAAGCATTGCATGGCCAAAGTCTTGTAGGATTTCGTTTTCAATTTCAGGCGAGAGCCACTTTTGCTTTTCAGGACGATTCAACCATTTCTTCAGTTCCAGAGAATCGTCTACTCGTAGTTTTAGTAGCATGCGAAAGTTTGAATTATTTTCAATCTTTCCACGAATGGCGAGGCCTCGCGTTCCTTAATACATTAAAAGAAAAATTAAAATTTAAGAAGAAACATTTAGTTATCCAGAAAATAAACTTAATGATTGATAGTTAATCTAAATTTTCTCAAACAAAATTAAAAAAAAAAACGAAAAAAAAAAAAGAATTACCAAATAAAGAAGTGTTGTAAATATTTTTGATAAAGCCGTACGATTATCCATTATTCCTTTTTTTTTTTTGGTGATGATTAAGCTGCTGGATAACGGTTGATTCCAGTGTTGCTGAGGCGATCATACTAACGGACGCCCTATGGAGTTCAGACCACTCGTGAGAACCAAAAATTTGTAACGCTTTATTCCAATTAGAAAATCCGTTTAAAATAAAAGCTTTGTACAAATCTTTTTCTCTTGAACTACGAGGTAAAGGCATTTTCATTTGGGTAGCTTGGATGCAGGTAGATCAAAACTCTTTTTTTTTTTTCGCGTTCATGTAAAACCATTCATTTATATTTTTAATTTCAGCTTTGTTTAAATTTTCTTCCCTTTTTTGATGGAAAAGATGACTGACTTAAACAACAAGGTCCAGGCTCCTCTGTCAAAGACGGCGACTCAGCAACAGCGGTTGAACCAGTTGCATCATCTGACTGAACAAATGATTAACTTTCATGAGTGTAATCTTGGAAATTAATATCATTTTGAGATTCAGAATATAATGCAACTGTTCCTATTTAATTTTTTTTTTAAAAGTATTCAGTAATCTTTTTTATTGTACAAGTTCTACAACTTACGTTTTTCCATTCAAATGTTTTTTAATTTCAAACTTATAAACAGTTAATACAAATAATACTGCCGAGGTTTTCAAAGAAAAGTACTAAACAAACGTTTAACTCACACAACTCTTTAGTTTATGCAGTTCCGTTAATTTGCTTTTTATAAGTTTTTACCGATCTCAAACTCCCTTGAGACTCATCAGAAGCGTGGAATTTCGGAAATTCGAAAAATAACTTAAACTTTTGAAAATCACCATAGGTATTTGTGGAAATATTACAATCATTTTTGAATTGTTATATTTGTTAATGTTTAGGTATACTATGGTTTTTATTTTTTAAATATTTTTGAAAGCTTGGTGAATTTTCCCGGGTGGGGCAAAGCCCCAGCGACAGATTTCCGGATGGGGCAAGAGCCCCCGAGCCCCAGCGCGTTCTACGCCTATGCATATAACCTGTGGTGTTCCGCAAGAATCTATATTATTATATTAATGACTATACTATCATATTAATGACTTGAACAAAGCCTCAAATCTACTTAGTATTATGTTTGCGGACGAAGCTAACCTTTTTTTTTTTCTAATAATGATATTTGTAAACTTTTTTCTAAAATGAATGACAAACTTAAAAACATTTTTACCTGGTTCAAATGCAACAAATTAAAAATAAATATTTATAAAACTAAATATATTATTTTCCATTCGCTTATAAAAAAGCGTTAACTACCCATAAAACTGCCTCCAATTTTTATCGACCAAATTGATATTAAAAGAGACTGTGTTATAAAGTTTTCCTGGATGGTCACATTACATGGAAATATCACTTTGATTACATTTGTACCAATATTTCTAAAAATATTGGAATTTTGTATAAAACCAGAGATTGTTTAAATAAAAAGAGTTTGTCCGAACTTTATTACTCGTTTATCCATAACTATTTAATTTATGCAAATATTGCCTGGGGAAGTATTAATAAAAATAGATTGAAACGTCTTTGTAACCGGCAGAAGCACACAATTAGTATTATTAATTTTGTGGATCGTCTTACTCATTCGAAGCCTTTATTCAACAAAATAATTACATGAATTCTTTAAAAAATGCCTGATGCCCGGCGGGACAAAAAACAAAAAAAAAACTTTTTTCGACATTGAAAAGACGTCTTTTTTGTCTTGATCTTGTAATGAAAAGACATAAAAAATATGTCTTTAAGACGCCTTTTTAAGTCGATTATGCAAATCTAAAAAAGTGTTTTTTCTCGGCGACGGAAGGACTTTTTTTGTCACACTAATAAGTATACTATAGTATCCTATTTACTATAGTATTCCTGCTTTACATACATGAAAAGTTGTTTTCATTAAATGAAAATGATAACAGCTCTTCATACAAAATATAACAAAAAATTCTTTCCGATGCCGAGAAAAAAACTTCTTTTAGATATCAATATAAAAGAGGTACTATTTCTACATTTTTTTTATAAGTTTAAACATAGGAGAATTTTTTATAAATAAAACATTGTTCAACAGAATATATAAATTTAAGAATTAATTAATTAGTAGATTTATCTCCAGATTCATCATTTTCTTTTTTCTTTCTTTTCTGTTTCTTAGCGAGCTCTGTTTCTTGGCGTTGTTGCTTACGCAACAATAAAATTATCTATTTCACGTCAAAACGTTTTTTTAAACGAGCTCGCTACGACTTCTGAAAAATGAGTAAACATGAAAAACATTCTCGTGTTTTAATGTAATACAAAAAAGCAAATTAAATTTGATTCAAAAAGAGCTGATCCTTTCAACCCCTTTTTGTTTCTAGCGCGGTCCTTTCTTTTTGTCTTCACTAGGTTAAATTAGGACAGGAGTCCAACGGTAAATAGTCTAAAAATATTTAAAAATGAGTATGCTAAAGAAATTTACGACCATCAAAATGACTGTACTACAATGTATTTTATTATGTAGTACTTAAACCAAGCTAAACATTTACACCTCTCAGATTCGCTATGAAACCCAAGTTATCGAAAACAGATATTGATATTTTTTCTGTTTTTTATGGCGTACTTTTTAATTTAACTTTGCTGAAATTAAGTGTTGTAGACCCATAACAATTAAAAGGTTCGTTATTGACTATCATATAAACAAAACAAAAATAAAGACTAGAAACCTGCAATGATGTTTCGCTGTAAAAAGCGCACCTTTCCAGTATCATTTTCACTTGGTACTTTGTATCCAAACCAAAAGTTTTGCTGACGATTCTAAAGATAAATCTGTTGTCATTACGCGCATTTTTTACTTGCTTTGTTAACGAAGGACAACAGTTAACAAGGAAATAACAACTTTAACTTAAATGTGAAAAAGTCTTTCGTCTTAACAATTTCATCATTCAATTAAATTCAAACAACAAAATTATTCAGATCATTTTAAAACATTTTGAAAAAATAAATTGCAAGATTACAAAGAAGCTTCTTCTTTTCTATCGTCCGTTTTACTGGCATTTGAATGAGTAAATACAGACAGATATTGTTTACAGGTTTGTTTTTTGTCTGGAAATAAATATTTTAATTTAATATGTAATAAATAACGCTCTTCAAGCACAACAAATTAAAAAATTAGGTGACATAATATCAAATGCTTGTAAACTCTAACTATATGCGTATTTAAGCTTTGCTCATGTGTAAAATTCAAAATTAAACAGTAAAACTTTTTAAAACTCTTACCTGCGACTAACTAAATCATATTAATACCATAGCTCTTTGTTTGGTGGAGAATTTTTGTTCTTCAGTACATTTATGCCTTTTCGCCATTACAATTTTTTCTCTGCCTTATATAAGTATCTTACTAACACCACGCCATCCACTTTTTGCTTCTTCCCATTAACATTTTCTAGCTAAACAACTGCAGCTTATCTGTTTTGAAACTCCATTTAAGCAAAATGTTTTAAGGATACAAAAGCACTGTATTTAAAATCAATGATAAAAAAATGAATTTTCAATAAAAACAAAAACAAAATAATAATATAATAAGTATAGATTTGTAAGTAAAAAGTTTAAAGATAAACAAGTTGTCAAAGATACATTTAACATTAAAGTTGTTACCTTATTTTGTGTTTTAAACACATGTACATTATTTTTATTGGAATCATACTTACGCTTAGATGCTTGGCATGAATTTAGCAAATTGAAAGATATATTTGTAATCGGTGAAACCCATTGGTGGGCGAAAGATAGAGCTCTTACTAAAGTATTTGGAAATTTCTTCATCAAAAATTCCAATCAAGAAACACAAGTTATTGATTATTTGTACATTGACATGTTACAAATATTTCAGGATATTTCTAAATCAATCAAATTCAATAATGTCCGCTACAGAGCAAAAGCTAATTTAGATTCCTTAAATAATTTTTAATTTATTTTGACGGCAAAATTGTTTTTGAAAGTAATTGGGAAAACAACGCCATCATCTAAATATTTGCAAACAACTGGAATGGATATAATACAAAAACATGAATTTGAAGTTCAGACTGGTTTGAAAGAGAAAAGAATTAGAGCCAACAAACTACTTGAAAGTTCGAAAGATAAATTTTGTTTCAATGTTTACAACATAATATACAATATATAATAGTGCTGTACACTTAAAGAGAGATTAGTCCAAACTACATAGAGTTTGTAATTGTAACAGCTGTAACACACAAACATACAAATCATTTTGATGGTCATTTAAAATTTTCATCCAATTTGTTTTTGAACTGGTTAATACTGACTGCGTCTGTTGTTTCTTGTTTAAGATTGTTCCAGTCGTTTACTACTCTATTGGTGAAAAAATTATGTCGTTTTATATTTTCTGTATATTGCCTTCTCAGTTTACTATTGTGACATCTAGTTTTATATCCGTTATCTAGCATTTCGGGTTTTTTGTAAAAAGTTATGATATCGTACCATTTCAAATATTTGAACATTTGTATTAAATGGCCTCTTCTTCTTCTATTCTCCAACAATAGTAGATCCCACGTTTTTAATCTCTCTTCAGAACTGTATCCTTTCAAACTTTTAATTCTAGAAGGGCTTTGTTGGACACACTCTAGCTTATCTTTATCATACTGACGATTAGAATTCCAGATGGGAGCTGCGTATTCCAAATTTGGACATACTAAGGCTATAAACAAAAGTTTCATCATTTTTTATCTAAATATTTAAAAGTGTGTTTGATCTGACCTAACTTTTGATTTGCTTTATTTACTGCTTTATTTACATGGTATTTCCATTCCAAATCATCTGAAATGTACACTCCTAAATCCTTTTCCATGCTTGTGTAGACTAAAGCTGTATTATTCATTAAAACTTTGTGCTGGCTATTTCCTACTATCATAACCTTACATTTTTGCTGGTTGAACTTCATCAACCACTCATTCGACCATTCCATCAATAAGTCTACATCTTGTTGAAGTTCAATAACATCATTATCGTTTTTTATTGCTCTAAGGATTTTTATGACGTCAGCAAATAGTTTACAGCTTGATTTTATTTTGTTGATACCCTTAATATGCACTAAAAATAATAGTGGTTCTAGTACTAATTCTTGCGGCACAACCTTTTCCCATTCTGATTTATTATTTCCTATCACCACTCTTTGAAGTCTGTTCTTTAAAAATCCCTGGCACCAGTCGAATAGTTTTGATGTAAATTCAATTTTAAAGATTGTCATGATTCAAATAATTAGTAGTTTAAAATAGAGATTATCTGAGCATGGTATGTGCTGATTTATTTTGCTTAGATCCAAGAAATTTTGCAGAAATTTTTGAAAAAATGCCTAGTGACGCATTGCAGCACCTCAGTGGGTTGCTCAGAAAATTTGATGCTTGCGTATCTAACTCTGTCTCGGACAACATCCGACAATCTAAATCCGTAGAATTTGAAACTGTTTTTAGAATCCCAGCAGTAGAAAACAGCGACAGCCACAGAAATAAATGCAAATCTTGCAAAAAATGTATTATTTGTTGTTTTAAAAGGTATAAATTCAAAAGAACTCAAAGATATTGTCAATTCAAAAGACAGCTTTTTTCAGCGTAATTTTAAAAGTAAGAAAACTTCAACTTTAAGAAAAATCAAAATTTTTCAAAACTATTTTGTTCCACAGAAGAGTTTGCGATATGTTAAAAAAGATCTTCCAAAACTTGTATGAAAATAATGTTGATGAATAAAATTGCCATTTCTTAAGTCATATTTGTTTTTTTTGCTTTATTGCATATAAATTTTGAAAGGATATAAGGGTTAGGTTTATCTTACATTTGTACATAAATAAAAGAACATTAAAAACATTTTGCTGGTATATATAAAGAACATTCATTTTTAATAAAAGAGGTCTGGCATTAGTATAACGATCTTTAAAGTTTATTAGGCGTGCTATATGCTTCTGTTGCCGATATAGAGGATCTAATTGAATTTTTTTAGCACTACCCCATGCAATATTTGCATAGTTTATATGGCATTGGATTAGCGAGTGATAAAGTTCAATTAATGAATGTCTATTTACGAAATTTCTCGCTTTATACATTACTCCAATATTTTTTGAAACTTTATGGCGCAAAGTTTCGATACGGTTTTACCATGTTAGATTTTCATCAATGAAAACACCGCGGAAATGTATAACTTTTGATTTTTTTATTTGAACATTATCAATATATATTTGAGGTATATCATTTGGTAATATTTTTTTTTGGGGGATTTTGAATGAAATAAAGCCCATTTAGTTTTTTCCAAATTAATTGATAGTTTATTTGACTTAAACCATTTTGAAATTTTAAATAGTTCTATGTTGATTTCATTAAATAGTGTAATGATATGTTTACCGGATAGAAAAAAATTTGTATAATCAGCAAACATTACTGTCTTCAAATTTGAGGCATTGTGCAGATCATTAACTTAAATGAGAAAAAGTAGTGGCCCTAGTATAGATCCTTGGGGAACACCAAATGTTATATATAGTAAACTTGTTAAGGAGGATACGTCAATTTGCACAAACTGTTTACGATTGCTTAGCTTTTTAGCAAATTTAATAAATTTCCGCTGATTCCATAGTTTTTAAGTTTTTGTATAAGAACCTCATGATCTATCGTATTAAAGGCTTTTGATAGATCAATGAAAACTCATACATATGTATATATAATCATATCTATATATCTATATATGTATATATAGAACTCTTAAAAAAAATGTATTCACAACGTTTGTAGATATCCAAACTAGTTTATTTTGTAAAAAAGTCAAAATTGATTTTTTTTACCTAAAAGCGTTTTGAAAAATTGCAGTTAAGAATAACGAATATGTTAAAATGAGATAATTGCAGTAAAGGAACAACGAATATGTTAAAATGAGATAAATAGACGCAAAATATAAAAGTTCTTAACAAAAGCCACAAAACCAAAAAAAATTAAAAGTAATTGCAGTTCAATGCACATAAATATTTTAATTATTGGTGTTTGCAAAGAAAAAATATATAAATGGTTTTTTAGTATATTTTAGTAACTTATCTTTTTTAAACTTTGTTGCGCTTAGCCATCCCTATATAAAGAATATATATAAAAAAATATGTTATTTGTTTACATATATATTGTTTATAGAATGTAAAAAATCCACTTATATAACGGTACTTATAACGTATATAATGGGTACTTTTATAACGTTTTATTCAGAATCGTATGTAATATAAGTAAACTTTACTAATAATTACAAGTCTTTTTTGTTCTTCAAATTACAGATCAATATCAGTTTTACCATGCTTTTCTAAGTTACTCGAACGTATAATGTATAATAGGCTAAATAGCTACTTAACAGTAAATAACATGTTGTACAACAAACAATTTAGCTATAAAAAAAGTCATTCAACTAATCACGCTTTGACCGAGTAAGTAACTCATGTAACCAATGTCTCTAATGAAGTCTTTATTGATCTGTCTAAAGCCTTTGACACAGTCAACCATGTCATTCTTTTAAAAAAACTTGAGCATTATGGAATAAAAAACAATAATTTACTATGGTTTAAAGAATACTTATCAAACAGACAGCAATACATTCAATATGAAAATGTTAAAACGACAAAAAGTATAATAAAAAGTGAAGTTCCTCAAGGCTCAATCTTAGGACCGTTACTGTTTTCTCTTTATATAAATGATCTATCTCTTATCTCGAACCTAATAAATTTTATCTAGTTCGCGGATGACTCCGATCTGTTTTATTCTCATAGAGATATTAAAAACTTCTTTGAAGTAGTTGATGAAGAAGTAAACAAAGTGAGCGAATGGTTTATTTGTAATAAACTTTCACTTAACGTTAGCAAAACTAAGTTTATTATATTTCACAAAAATTACCTAATCTTAAAATTAATAATATATATATATATATTACTAGACAAACAACTGTAAACTTATTAGGTGTTATTTTAGACGAAAGTTTATCATGGAGAAAACATATAAGCACTCTTGAATGAATAATTTCAATAAACATTGTAATGTTGTATAAAGCAAAATCATTTTGGATATAAGATCTTTAAAAAGTTTATATTTTTCCTTCATACATAGCTATTTAACTTACGGCAATATCGTATGAACTACGCCAAGTTAAAAAAAATTTATACTAAACAAAAACATGCATGTAGAATTGTATTTGGAGCAAAAAGAACTGTGCCTTTTGAGCCACTTCTACGTAAACTTAATGCATGAAATGTGTTTAAAATCAAAAGATTCCTCGTCATACAGTTTATGTATCAAATAAAGTATGGACTGTTGTAATGAACTAATAAAAAGATTGACCTCTTGATTAAGGCTTTATTTAACAATAATTGCACTAATCTAAAGATACAAGAAAATAGACACATATATATAACAAATAGTTCAATAACAAAAAATAGAAAACACAACTATCTTCCCATCAATGTAGAAAAAAGCCCATAAACTAGTTTTGTCATTTTAAAATATAGTCATCATATTTTACAGGAGCTTTACAAGCTCTGGCAGAGCGTCGTAATACATCAGCAAATGGCTCAGTTACTGGCTCATCTACCCTAACTCTGATTTCCGATGCAATTTCAGGTGAGGGTCTTTATTTACATCAAGTACTTTCGCAGTTACATTCTCACTAGACTCATTGATACTATTCTCATTGATATCATTAAACTTTTCTTTTGGGGCAGGATACGGTGCAAGATCTTGAAGTGAAACAGTTAACTCTCGTCCATCAGGGTAACGAATATTAGCATATGTTGGATTTACATCCACTAATTCAACCTTATCCACGAGATTATCGTTTTTGTTTGTACGCACAAAACGTCTTAGAAAAATAGGGCCAGGATTTAACCATGAGGGTAACGAAGTTCCGGATGACGAGCGCCTAGGAAAACTGAATAACCTCTCATGGGGTGTACAATTAGTTGCAGTTGAAAGTAGCGAACGGCGTGAGTAGAGAGCGTCTGATAGAACAATTTCCCAATTTCTAACATCTAGGTTGTGGGTTTTTAGTGCCAAACAAATATTTTTCCAGATCAAGCCATTATATCTCTCAACTTATCCATTACTGATAGGATGATATGGGGTAGAATTACTTGTTGCAATTCCTTTCTGAGTAAGGTAAGATTTTAATTCATTAGATATGAAAGATGAGCCTCTGTCGGAATGAATGTACGTTGGAAAACCACAAAAGGAGAATATTTGATCTAAACAATTCACAACAGTTGTTAAACTAATATCAGGACATGGGAAAGCAAATGAATACCGAGAATATTCATCAATGACTGTAAACAGATATTTATTTCTAGAATTAGATGGCAATGGTCCTTTTAAATCTATACTTAGGCGATCCATTGGACGTATTGACTTGATTAACTTAAAGACATTTGAGGATCGATAAAACTTTGGTTTTAATTTTGAACAAATCTGGCAGTTAGAACAAACTCTCTTGATCTCTTCTGTAGAAAAAGGTAAATTTTTAAATTTAACAAAGTGAAGCATACGAGTAAACCCTGGGTAACATAGACAGCTATGTATACCACTTAGGTTTGTTTGAGATTGGGTTGTACCACAAAAAGCACGTGTGAGTGCATCAGGGACGATATTATCGCTTCCAGGACGATAAGATATAGTATAACTAAACTCTGATAACTCCATCCTCCGCACTGAATCTTACTATTTTTAATCTTTGTTTTCTTTCGGTTATCAAACATAAAAGCTACAGAACGCTGATCTGTAATTAATTTAAATGGATTCCGTAACAGTAAATGTTGCCATTTTTGAATGGCTTCAATAATAGCCACAGCTTCTTTTTCTACTGATGGGTAATTGATTTCACTTTTGCCTAATGTTCGAGACATAAAGGCAACTGGACAACCATTTTGACTCAAGATAGCTGATACGGCTACATCTGATGCATCACATTCAACAACAAAAAGTAAGCTCTCATCAATAGAACTCAAAGTGGCAGCATGAAGTTTTCTTTTAAGAAATTGAAATGCTTCAAGTGCCTCACTATTAATAGGAAAGGATTTAACATTAATTAAAGGCCGAACTTTATTAGCAAACGAAGGTATCCACTTTGAATAGTAAGAAAACATACCCAAAGTTCGCTGAAGTGATAAAATGTTAGAAGGAGGAGGTATTAAGTCTAAAGGACGTAATCGCTCAGAATATGGTTTTATGTTGTTATGACTAACGCAATAACCAAGAATGTTTATAGAAGAAACTGAAATAACCGATTTTGATTCATTTAAAGACCCCAACGTTGTGAAGGGTCTTGAAACCGCAGACAATTTTTATCATGATGTGCCTGATCATAACCACCAATGGTTATATTGTCAAGATATGGAAAAGTATCATGTAACTTTTCTTTTTCAACAAACTTGTCCATAGACCTTTGGAACATAGACACACCATTAGTAACTCCAAATGGAATCCTGCAAAATTGAAATAGTTTCCCATTAGCCTCAAATGCTGTATACTTTTTGTCTGAATTTTTAATAGGGATTTGGTGGTAAGCACTTTTCAAGTCAAATGTAGAGAACACTTTGTACTTTGCAAGTCCATTTATCATATCATCTATTCTGGGAAGAGGATATGCATCTAACTCAGTGTAAAGGTTAACTTTTTGAGAGTAATCAATACAAAGTCTTTTTTTGTTAGATTTAGTAAGATCCTTTACGACCACTACCTGGGCTCTCCATGGTGAGAAACATGGCTCAATTATACCATCCGATAATAACTGTAATATTTCACTTTCAATAAAGTTTCGATCATCATTATTATATTTTCTTGATTTTGTAGCTATTGGCTGAGTTTTTTCTGAAACGCTTGTAAACAAGAATGGTATTTTTATTTTTGCCATTTGCAGTGCACATAGGTTACTTTCCTTTTATGACAATTAAGTCTTCTTTTTCTCCACCGAGTGGGAATATTAAATTTTTGTGTAGTTTTTGGAAGTCGTAACCAAGTATGATATCACTACAAAGATTTTCTAAGACACCAAATTGAACATTATTATAAAATAAACCATTTACTTTAAGATTAACCGAACAACAGTCCACTAATCCAGACTCCATTGTTGTGAGGGCCATCAAAATTTTCTTTTTACTGGGTAACGTTTTAATTTTTAAAGTCTCGATAATTTTCTTGATTATAAAATTATCTGAGCTACAGGAATCGATCAGTGCAGTTAACGGTTCATCATTAATTCTGACAATAACAGCTGCATGAGAGAGGCTCAACGGACAACCACTTGAAACAGTACACAAACTTGGTTTATGTATTGCAGCTGAAATACTATGGGTTATATTCATCGGCCTGCCAAGACAAAACTTTGGAAAAATGACTTTTTTTTCCACATCTAAAACAGGTAGCAGAGATTTGATTACGTTGGTTGTGAGATTGATTACCACAATAAATGCATTTTGTTTGAGGATTAATAGTCATAGCATTGAGTGCTGCTGAGGGTTCTTCTGGTAATTTTATAGCGGCAACAATATTTAAATTGGAGGAAAAGGAGGATGTTTTCTGCATATAAGAATCTGAGTTTCTTTGTGCAATGTCAAGAGAACGAGCTTGGTTAAATGCTGATTGCAAAATCAATGTTGAATTTTCAAGAAGTCGTTGACGAATGTAATACGAATTTATTCCAGAAATAAAAGCATCTCTTATTTGTTCCTCTCGATATTGTTCAGCTGAAACATCCTTGTAATTACAGTTTTTATTGAGTTTACGTAGTTCCTGAAGAAAGTCTTCTAAGGATTCACTCGATGTTTGATGCCTTGCAAGTAATTGATGCCTTGCAAAAATTTCATTAGGGGTTTTTATATATAAGTTTTCTAGGGTTTCAATTACACTTTCATAGGAATCACACTCTTCAATGTAATCATAAACATTTGATGAAACAAAATTAATAATGGAGCAAAATTTGTCTGGAACATACTCTCCACAATCCTCAATGAAATTTTCAAATGTTTGTTTCCAATGCTTTCATTCTTTTGAAGCAGTTGGTGCATTATGATCAAGATCAAGCCTCGTCGGTTTTAAGATCTTTGACATTTCCCAATAATTTTATATGATTTGTTAAATAAATTGTAATGAACTTATAAAAAGATTAACCTCTTGATTAAGGCTTTATTTAACAATAGTTGTACTAATCTAAAGATACAAGAAAATAGACACATATATAAAACAAATAGTTCAATAACAAAAAATAGAAAACACAATTATTTGAAATTTTTAGTACCTTTTCTCACTGCCAATGGTGCTTCTTAAGGTTTTCGAACTCTTACTGTGCCACCTGGTGAAGCATCTTTTGATGAAATTACTAATGATGCTATCTGCTCTGCCCCATTAGGATCTGCCATTGCTAATGTTCTTAAGTTCAAATTTTGAGTCCCTTGAGTACAATCATGAGGTAGTCCACGTGCAACCACGGATAAGCAAACTGTACATCTCTTTTCTGCTGACAGATTTGTGTCATTTTGAGCTTCGGTTTGGTTTCATTCATCAATAGATGCATTTCTTTACCTTTGGTTTTTGCAATTCGACAAATCAAGTAATCACAAGCACTTGTCTGTCTTGTCAAAGTTTTAACTTGAATCGAATCAAAGTTGTAAAAAGCAGGAAGATTGGGATACGAATTTTTGTCACTGGTTTTGTTAATCTTGAAACAACAAGTTAAGCAAATTCCTTTTGGAACATTGCTATTTTTAAAATTAATGGAAGTGTAAAATATTTCTGTGATCTTCTGTTTGAAGGAATCTGTCAATTCACGGTCTGCTTTTTTCATGCAAATGAAGCAGACAGATTTACTGCACTCATTGTGGTCTTTGTCAAACATAGACATGTCGAAAGTTTCACTTCCGCATATTATCATAGAATCATATATCTTTTCAATAATAAATGAAATTTCATGCTTCTTTGTCAAAAAGCATTTTGTAAAAATTAAAATAAATTTAAATTCCCTTCATCTACAGTTGGATTATAAGATTAAAACTTCAAACCCTAATAACTCCTTTAAATTTTAATCCACGATTTTAATTTTTATCAATATTTGCTGCTATTGACATCTAGAATCATTGGTTAAAAGGGCTAAATGGGATGTTTTGTTGGTATTAAGACCCCAAATTTTCAGGGTGTGATTTGGATAATCAATGCAACTAAGGTATAGAACAAACAAACTCCTAAAAAAAAAGCCAATTTTATAAAAATCCGATTGGTTGTTAGTGGCAAACCAAACAACCTTTTATTTATTGCCCGCCTTAAAAAAACTTAAGGGTCCCTTACGAAAATGTCCGCGCGGATTTTAAGGGTCCCTTAAGGGCTGTTCCTTAAGCGACCAAAAAAAAAAAAAAAAAAAAAAAAAAAAAAAAAAAAAAAAACAACGCGTTACCACTTAAAAAATGAGTAGACAAGCGTGCTTGTTTTTTTAAATTCTTTTTTTTTTATAAAATATTTTTTAAATATATTTATTATTACGATTCATATTACATAAACTGTTATATATTACATATTATTTACATAATAATGCTATTTAAAATACAAGATATTATTATTTATTTAAAGATGTCTTTCGCTTCTTTTATCGAGGAGCGTTATCACTTTCGTTGTCCTCTTTACTTCTCTCGTCACTGTCTATATCTTTCGCGTCAATCGAAACTGCTGTTTTACATCACCGCAGCCGCCTACCAGAGCTATCTCTGGCGTTATTGAAAAATCGTGCAACTTTTAACTCAACTTCTTTTTTCGTGATGCTGAGGAAAAAGTGAACAGTTGAAGCTATAAATATATCATAATAAAATAATCTCTATTATACTTATTATAATTAAATAAATAGTAACTATTATCATAGTTACTATATATTTAAGAGACTGTTACATATAATCACATCGACAAAATAAATATGCGTATAAATATAAGTAAATTGTTAATAACAATAGGTTAACAACTTTCGTAACTTCATTTTATTGTTTCAAACAGTGATTGTAAGTCAAATGGGTTACTCACAAGAATGCTATTTAAAATTTAATATCAATATGTTTTTAATATCCGAATTATTCAAAGTAGCTCTAAATTTCACTCACTTTTAAGCAGATTTTCCAGGTGATTAAAATATTTTGCCATGTGTTCCGGGCCTGTTGATCTTTTTTTGCATGTCATGTATCAGAAACTTATTAAACACTCTTGAAATATGGTCATGGGCAGTCACCCTTCCTTCAAACATCATCCATGACAACAAAAAGGAGTTTAGAAATGCTTCATATAAATACTATTACATTCTAAAATCAACAGTTTATGGCTACTTGCATACTCAGAATTTAATAAAAACATACCATATTCTTTGGGTGCTTTTCAACTTCAGAATATGGCAGTGCAGAATTGAAAATTGGAAACTAGATTTGGCTGATATTCTGATCAACAGGATCATTACAAAAACGTTCTTACAACTTTCCCTGTCTTTGTTCAAGGCTTGTCAACTTAAATTGAATATAATTCAGTTCACAAAAAATGTACGTACTCATAAGAAAGTAACCTGTTATGAAAGAAAGTGCCTCTTATAAAAGAAAATGACCAGCTACTAATGTTACTTAAAACAAACAATACTCTTATTTTCCATGAAAAAACATTGTAAAAAATAAATACTGAGCCTAAGCAATATAAATTATTCAAACCTTGTGGACTAAATGGTTCACCATTTAGACGATTGCAAATACCAAGCATACTATCATGCATCTGTAATAAACTTGAATCAGCGGAATACCTGACTTAACTAAAATTACAATATTTTACAATAATACAATAATATATATATATATATATATATATATATATATATATATATATATATATATATATATATATATATATATATATATATATATATATATATATATATATATATATATATATATATATATATATATATATATATATATATATATATATATATTTATATATATATATATATATATATATATATATATATATATATATATATATATATATATATATATATACTTTTGCAAGAAAAATAAATATTTTGTGGCATACATTTGACTGATTATCTGTCTGTGGAACGCTTGAAACCTATTCGAAATTAAAAAAACATTAACATAATCAAACCTATTATGTGAAAGATATAGAAGTATATTACAATTTTTTAAAAATTGCAGTTGCCTGGATAAATGTAGGTAATTGCAAACTAGAAATCTTTAAAAGATATATATCAATAACACAAAATAGAATAAATCTTAAATTATCATAAACAGCAAAATTAATATAAGATATGTTCTGATGCAATAAAACTAGAATTTAGCAATATTAAATATATTTATTTTACCTTTAAGGTTTAGAAAAAGAAAAGAAAACATACATTAACTTGACAACTTGTAGTTATTGAAGAGCAACACTAAAACAATAAAAAGCTGTATCAAAAACTTATCATTTGAAAAATTATAGCAGAATTATCTGTTTGTAAAATTGCATTACATACACTTGATGGTGTTTGGATATTTGTTTCTTTTGTACCCTAAGAAATGTGTAGAAACTTGATGCATTAGTTAAAAAAAATCATTTAAATAACATTAACATAATTAGTTTTTAACAGTGGCAGGGGCTTTAAAGCTGATTTAACAGCAGTATCCTGGGTATGCTGTGCCGAAAATATCAAAACGTTTTATAGATAAAAAATTACCAAACAAACTATCTAAACTGTTACAATAAATAAAACATTACCTCAGAACAAAAATCTGAATTAAAATTTGAGTCGTTTTCTATTTAAGCCCGAGTTGAAATAAGTTTGTATAAAATTTATTGATTGTTTTTTCATTTTCATTTCATAAACAAACTTTAAAGTTTCTTTCAGGGCGTCATTACTTGTCGCACATTGCAAAACTTAAACCTATATATATATATATATATATATATATATATATATATATATATATATATATATATATATATATATATATATATATATATATATATATATATATATATATATATATTCACAAAAAAAAAACGTTGTATTGTAATTATTAAACAATACTATCAAATTATGGTGATTCAAATTTACCTTTAACATATTATTGTTGTTCATTACCATTAATTCAACTATAAGGGAGTTTTATTTTTTTTTTTTTTTTTTTTTTTTTAATATTTATATATTTGCTGTACATATAACATTTACAAGTTTCGTAAATTAAAAGTTGTAATATTTACAAGTCTCGTGAGTCAAAATATATAGTGAAATTTATAATTAAATAGTACACGCCGGACTTCAAGAAGATCGTAATGATCTTATCACGAAGCCCTTACAATGTGTTTGATATATATTATGATTATGTTAAATATAATTATATATTAAGTACAACTATATTTTTATATTCTTTAAATTAAGCTCATAATAAAAAATAAACTCAAAATAAGCTCAGTATAAAATATTTGACATAACAAGCAGCATAATAACTAAACTTGATAAGAAAAAATCAAGTGTTTTTTTGGTGTGTAATAAACAATTTTTGATATATTGTTTGAGAAAGGTAAGAGTCATTTAGATAATACACATAAACAAGTCAGTTCACTTTGTAGTTGATATATATGTATTTTATTTTATAGTCTTAAAAGAATTCTGAGTATCTGTTTAGATTCAGTATCAGATTTTTTAACTTTTTTTTCAAGGAATTTTGATTGCAAATTGAATCTAGGTTGCAAATTGATTTATTTTTAGTTACTAGTTTGTTGTATAAATAAGGACCCCGATATGAAATTGAGAACTGGGAAAATTTTGTTGTTTTGAAAGGTCTAATAAAGTTTCCTTTTTCTCTTGTGTTATATTTATTAATGTTATTTATAAAAAAGTTATTTAAAAAATGGTTTGATACTTGATCTAATTTAAATTTTAGCATAAACAATATATTTTGGTAAATATTAATTTGATAAATATTAAGCACATTCATTTCTTTAAATAAGGGTTCAGTGTGTGTAAATTTGTCTTTATGGTAGATTAGTCTTTATAGTAGATTAGCATGTTTCTGACGTCGATATAAAGTTTTCAATTTGGTTATATGCGTACTCGCCCAAGCTATATTCGCATATATGAGGTAGCTATGTATAAAAGAGAAATGTATATAAGTTTTAAATTACTTTGCGACAGCATAGGTTTTGCTTTATAAGGTAGACCTATGTTTTTTGATATTTTAGTGTTTAAAGCATTTATGTGAGTTTTCCAAGATGAATTTTCATCAATTATAACTCCTAAAAATTTAGTTTCGTGAGTTCTCTCAATTACTATATTTTCTATTTTTAGAGAGGGTAGAATATTTGGTAGTGTGTTTTGTTGTTGGTTTGAGTGAAATAAAGTCTA